GCCAGTGTGTACACTGGCTGGAGAATTCTGGGAGTTGAAGTCCGCCTGTCTTCAAGTTGCCAAGGTTGAGAAACACTGTCCTAGAGGATCTGAATAACTTTCTAAAACAGTGCTTTCCTCTTTGCAGTTCCAATGTGGCAGCTTGTCTTTGGGTGCAAGTGGGCAAGCTCTTTTATGCATTTAGGAATTCCTTAGTCCTGCATGGATCCAAACTCTTGCAGAAAAAAACGAACAGGAGAAAAATAGGAAGCCCCCACTCTGCCAGAGAATTTGCAGGAAAGATGGGTTTATTTGTCAGATTTCCAACTACTTTCTCTCCGGAAGTGCAAGGCAGCATACAAACACTCCTCCTTTTTTCTCTCCAACAACAACCCTGTGAAGTAGGTTGGGCTGAGAGCAGGGAACTGCCCCAAATATATCCAGTGAGCCTCCATTGTTTGGATCCAGGTTCTGTGGATCCTAGTTTTAGCACCTTCATTGCTACACCACCTTTTGGTTCTTAATTGCAAACTAATATATAGCTTTGATATCTTAATTCTGTCTGCTGCTCTCATTCTGAGATGTGCAGTTAATTGCTGTGTCAGCCACAACCTGTCTCCTTATACAGTACAGACCTCGCTGCCTGTTACAGCAACAGAACAATTTTCCTTTTAATTCTAAGAATCGGGGTTTTTTGCACAAAAATACACACACACACACACCAAGAATAAATGCATTTTAAGTCTTTATGGAGAAGCAAGGCAAGATGTACCAGCTGCATTCGCACAACAGGCTTAACGTGGATCTTGCATTAACCCGCCCCTTGGGTGAACTGAACCGTAAATCTAATGGGTGGTTTTGCACAGCGCACTAAGCCACCGGGGGAAAACAATCGGGTTAACAGAAGCACGCGTGGATGCAGTTTCCAAGTCTTCACGTGACCGAGTTAAGCCTCCGCACTGCTAGCTCCACTTGGGAACCGCGAGGCTGATGGAACCCGTGCAAGCCGCTTTAAAATTCCCATATTCTGCCTCACTTCTAGCAAGCTGTACATCCGCCTCGCGGGTACTACTCTAATTTCGTTTTGGCTCTACGGGGCCGCAGAGCGAGCCAATCACAGCTCCCCGCGCATGCGCTGCTCGTGAGTGTGGACGTAGCGTCGGGCGTTCTCTCTACCCCGCCAATGTGGTTCCATAGAGATACGAACGAAGACGCCTCTGCTGTAGTGCAGACGGAACTGCGTGCAGACGCTCCGGGGGCGGGTCGGAATTGAAAGTTTTGGCGGGGTTTCAGCGCCGCTGCTTCTTTGGCGGAAGGAAAAGTTTGCAATTAAGGTAAGAAAGGTTCAGATTCTCCGAGCAAGAAGGGGCGGGCGAGGAAGGGGTTGCAAAGAATACCTTGTGCAAAGAAAGGTCGGAGAAGTCCGTGGGGGTCGGATGGGGGTGCGCAGTTCAGGGAAGGGGGGAAATCAAGGATTGCATCGATTTCCAGCCATCAGCAAACGCCGTGCGGCTGGCCCGGGGTGAATCGGCGAATTGGATTGGGATTTTAGCATGCGCCTCTTGCCTCTACCCTAAACAAACTGGGAAGAAAATAAAACCCAGTTGAGTTTTACTCCCAGGAGTGGGACTAAACGCCAGGATTGTGCAAGAAAGAAGGAAAAAAGTAAATGAAATTTTAAAATCCCGTTATTGGGATTTATTTTCAAGCAAGCCTGGAGCTTTGGGGCCATAGGGTGGATCAATATGGAGCAAGGGTGTTGTTTTGGCTTAGTATAATGTTTGTCAACGTTGGCAACTTTAAGATGGGTGGACTTCAACTCCCAGAATTCCCCAGCCAGCACAGCTGGCTGGGGAATTCTGGGAGTTGAAGTCCACCCATCTTAAAGTTGCCAACGTTGACAGACACTGGCTTAGTAGGTTGTATGAACCCAACCAGTTGGGTTTGATTAAAGGAACCACATGAGAACAACATGGGAGCTTCTTTGAGGAGGTGCTTCCTGGTGCAACGGAGAGATGCATTGAGCCCCATTGAGAATTCACCCCTTCCACGCTCTCTCTCGCTCTAATGTGTTGATTAGACCTACTCAGGATTATCCTGATAGCTCCAACATTCCCCAGTTTAGGAAGTGCTGCCACATTTGTTGAAGATGTACTTTAGTACTACCCACACCCCATCTTGTGTGGTTGCTTTGTTCACTGTGAGACCTTCAGCTGGTGAAATCCTGGTGGTGAAATCTCCAGCTTGACCCCACGTTGCAGAGGAGTTTCAGAAAAGTTTGTTGCCCAGGGTTGTGGAACCAGGAATTCCGCATTTTCCTTGTGAGATTGTATCTCTTCTCATTCTCTCTGGATTTAGCTATACATCAGGAAGGCCCATCCTGTCAATTGCATGGGGTCTCTGCCCCCATTTTTGCCTGGCATGAAGGCCTCCAAGATTGCCTAGTCAAAAAACTGAGTGGCAATTTTCAGTGCCGTGAGTTATGTATTGATTGCACTTTAAAATAAAGGTTCAGCCACACTTAACTCCCAGCTATTTTGACTTAAACTCTCCTCCAGCACCCTCCCTCTTCAAAACACTAAAACAGAGTTTTCTGCATGGTTTCACAGCAGCTTTAAATTTATTTTTATGCTCCTCATTCCTCAGCCTTTTACTTTTGTGACAATCCACAAAAGGTTATTATATTTGTTTTTGTTACTGATTTTAAGTTCTTAGAAAACAAGAATTCTTCCAAGTCTTTCCTGGTGTTGCTGAAAGAATGGACGGTGAGTATTGAATTGTTGCGGTTTTGAAATTTATTATATCCCATTCAAGTGACTGTTCAGGATTCTGCAGGATCAGGGGTACAGCTATTCATTGTGCTTGAAATTACTTACAATTTATGGATTTACAACAGTACATGATTTAGCTGTATACACTTTAAGAGCTCAAACAGCATATTCAAATTCTTGACTGGAAATTATACAGGATTAAATGAAGGTGGCAGCAGTAAGAATTAAGATAACTGAGAATAACAATAAATGTTCCAACAATTCAAAAACAAACGAACAGAACAAAATTTAGAAGTAGGAAATAATTTCCTTTGGGAACAGAAATTAGAACTGAGCATTGCAATGTTAAATGGAATTTGTAGTGCAGCTCCTCCACTTAGGGAGAACGTATGAACTATTTCTGTATTTACATTGGCTTTCTTAAAGCAACAGGGGAGCAAAGGTAAACCTAAAACAGTGTTTCTCAACCTCGGCCACTTTAAGATGTGTGGACTTCAACTCCCAGAATTCCCCAGCCAGCTGTGCTGGCTGGGGAATTCTGGGAGTTGAAGTCCTCACATCTTAAAGTGGCCGAGGTTGAGAAACACTGTTTTAGGTTTACCTTTGCTCCCCTGTTGCTTTAAGAAAGCCAATGTAAATACAGAAATAGTTCATACTTTAAGATGGGTGGACTTCAACCCCCAGAATTCCCCAGCCAGCATGGCTGGCTGGAGAATTCTGGGAATTGAAGTCCACACATCTTACAGTGGCCAAGGTTGAGAGACACCGACCTAGAGGAAGGAACTTAAAGCATTTTTTAATCCCTTCATCTCTAAGAGTAGTTGAAATCTTTTTCTTAGTACCGTAGTCCAATCGAGAGCCTCTAGGTTTTTCATTAAAACGAATCCATGATTAGTCTTCTCATCTTGTTGGTTTATTGTAGCCAATGACCAATCAATGTGACAGACAAAATGACAGAGATAAACAATGCAACATACAAAATTTACAATGCAATAATACTACTATTAAACTAGTGGGTATGAGAACTATTTAAAATATATCACCTGGCCGAAGCCTAAAATCAAATCAAATTGTTAATATCATCATAAAATAAAATGAAATGCCTTTTATCACTGGGAGCATGTGTAAGCCTAGTTATGTCACAAAAATTGATACATTTACCATTTGTTGTTAGCAAAAATTGAAAGTCTAGAGCAGGGGTTTTCAAACACTGCAGAACTTGCTCATTAAAAAAAAAAAAAA